ATGTGGGGAATGTGTGAATGTGGGAAGGGGCGGGCTTGTGTGTGTGAAATTGGAATGTGGGCGGGCTTGTGTGAATGTGGGAAGGGGGGCGGCTTGTGGTATGTGTGAAGGGGCCGGGCTTTGAATGGGAAGGGGTGGGCTTTGTGTCTGGGAAGGGGAAGGGGGCTGGGCTTGGTGAATGTGCGGAAGGGGGGCGGGCTTTGTGTGTCGTGGGAAAGGGGGCGGCTGTGTGTGAATGTGGAAGGGGGGGCTGTTGTGTCTGTGGGAAGGGGAAGGGTGGCTCGGCTTGTGTGAATGTGGGAAGGGGGCGGGGCTGGCGTTAGCTGTGAATTGGGAAGGGCGGGGCTTGTGTGATGTGGTGAAGGGATGGGGAAGGAAGGGGCTGGGCTTGTGTGAATGTGGGGAAGGTGCGGGGCTTTGTGTTGGGAAGGGGCGGGCCTGTGTGTCGTGTGGGAAGGGGGGGCTTGTGTGAATGTAGGAAGGGGGGGGCTTTTTTGTCTTAGGGAATCGGGGAAGGGGCGGGCTTGTGTGAATGTGGGAAGGGGGGCTTGTGGAATGTGGGAAGGGGGCTTGGGGGATTGGCGTGCTTGTGTGAATGTGGGAAGGGGGCGGCTGTGGAATGTGGGGCGAAGGGCGGCTGTGGAATGTAGGGAAGGGGGCGGGGCTTGTATGAATGTGGGGAAGGGGGCGGGGATTGTGTGAATTGGGAAGGGGGGGGCTTGTGTGAATTGAAAGGCTGCTATGTGAAATGTGGAATGGGCGGCGGCTTGGTGAATGTGGGAAGGGGGCGGGGCTTTGTTGAATTGGGAAGGGGGCGGCTTGTTGTGTGAATGTGGAGAGGGGATGAGGTTCCCTTTTTTGGTGTTTGTGTATGTTTGGTATGTGTTGTGCCTTTGTGTGCTGGTTTGTGTGTGCGGTTGTGGTGTGGTCCTGTGTTTGTTTGTGTGTTTTTTTTTGTGTGTGTTTGCCCTGGAGTGTGTGTTGGGTTTGTTTTGTGGTGTGCGTTGTGTATAAGTTTGTGTTTGTTTGAGTGTATGTGTGTGTGTATGCTTGCGTGTCTCTGCGTCTGTGTGCGTGAGCTGTCCTGCGACCACTATCATATCACTGAAAGCTATGCGTTTAAGTTGCCAGCGAGCACAACACACAACAACCGGTAAAGAAAAAGAAGAATAAAAAGGAGAACAAAAAGAAAAAAAGAAAACAAAAACGAAAAAAAAAAAGAAAACAAAAAACAAAAGAAGCAAAAAAAAAATAGAAAACAAAAAATAATAACAAGAAAAACAAAAACAAAGAGAAAAAACAAAAAAGAAAAAAAAAAAAAAAAAAAAACAAGGAAAAGAAAACCAAAAAAAAAAAAACACGAAACAAAAGAAAAAAAAACACAATCACCCACCCAAGAACTTAAACCGCACTGTCACTCACATCACCCCCTTTTTCCACCTCGCCACGCACCCCCAACCCGTGGCAATGGATATTGAAAGGCTGCAACTCCAGCGCCACACCCCTCCCTGCTGCATGACCCCGCCGCCCCTCCTCTCATGCACAATATCGACGCCAAGATCCCGAACTCTGCAGGCACGTCGAGGTCGATCACCGTGCACCGTTGCATGGTAGCTGCTGCAACTTGAGGACGAGAGGGGTAGGGGCGGGGATGGGGTGAGAGGTAGGTAGGGGTGGGGGGTGGAGGAGTGGGGGGCGGAGGTAGGTGGGGTGGGAGCGGGTAGGTAGGGGTGGGATGGGGGTGCGAGAGGTAGGTAGGGGTGTGGGAGTGGGGAGGGAGGAGGGGGGTGAGAGGTAGGTAGGGGTGGGGAGGTGGGGGGGGCGAGAGGTAGGTAGGGTGGGAGGAGGAGGGGGATGGGGGGCAGGGGTGGGAGGGGCGGTGGGGGTGAGAGTAGTAGGGGTGGGGAGGGTGAGGGGGGCGAGAGGTAGGTAGGGTGGGGGTGGGCAGGGTGGGGGCGAGAGGTAGGTAGGGAGGGGAGGGGTGGAGGGGGTGAAAGGTAGGTAGAGGTGGGGAGGGGAGAGGGGGGTTTGAGGTAGGGTGGGGAGGAGGAGGGGGGCGAGAGGTATGGTCGGGGAGGGGGGGCGAGAGGTAGGGTCCGGGGGGGGGGCAGAGAAGTAGGGTCGGGAGGGGGGGGGGTGAAGAGGTAGGTGGGGAGAGGGGTGGGGAAGGGGGTATCGTCGTGATAGTTGAAATACGTCACTTGCTGTAATGAATTTCCTTCTTGTCTTTGTTTATTAGAACATTGTCGAGCGTGATTTATGCTAACTATCTGGATCTCATTTCCGCTCGTGTTTACATGCAATATGCGCGTTTGTTGGCAACTGCACAACATCAGCACATGCAAGCAGCGCAACACACATTGTGCTTCTAACATATATATATATACATACGTACGCTTCTAGACTATATATATATAGTATATATATATATATATATATATATATAGATAGATAGATAGATAGATAGATAGATAAATATAGATATATATATATATATATA